TTGTTAACTGTAAATAGAACTTATCACATGCATCCGGTGGACGTAAATTTATATAATTCTGAAGGTCTTGAATGGGCTTAAATTCATTATTAGACAAGTCTGGTGGAATATGTACACAACGACTAGAGAATTTTTCATATTTATTTCAACCTTTAAGTCCACCTTGATTATTCTTCTCATGACCAATCATAAAAATTAGACTTCTATCCAATTGAAAATTAAAGCAGCTTAATGAAAGTCGATAATGATCGCCATCATGTAATCCTAATAAGTATGCATTCCAGAAGAATACTTTCCAGGTAAGTTATAAAGCTGTTTGATTACTAGTATTAAGGTATAATAAAATTTGACGTATTTCTTTTCGAGTCAATCCTTTTGATTGATCAATTTCGCCAAATCCTTGATCTTGTAACTCTATACATTTTCCATCAACAACTTTATATAATATTGGAAATTGATATCGATCATTGATATTGACATTTTGAATTACTGAAGTTTCAAATAAAAAATGTTTAAGTGAGATATAAGCTGATATAACTGATTCGACCTTATAAGGTTTTCCATCATATCGTGTAATATCAGCAAAGAATTCACATAGTTCACGTTCAAGTTGCTCTTGATTTGTTATAGTTTGAATTTCATAGGAAACATTTTTTTTTTACAATAGTTTTGTAAAGCTCGAACCCATTTTTGAGTACAAGCGGCAGTGTTTTTAACCTTAGATTTTTTTATATATCGTTGAATATTATCTTCAGTTCTATCAATACTTTCGAGTTCATTTGATGCATTTGGTACAGTATTTGTTTCAATTAAGTCATGAGCAGAAATAAAGTTTGACATCATGAAAGTTGTAAAATTGATTTTTTTAAATCGAATTCTTTTTATATAAAATTTTAAACTATATGAATTACGTCACTTTAATTAAAAAAATAGTACGGAAGTATAATAAGAACCTGGAAATAAATTAATTATTATCCACAAAGTGGGCAATAACTATAACATATCATCACGAGACCGCGAATTTTTATGCGGTTGCTATGTATAATATGAAACTGACTTCTGTGCACTAACAAAAAGTTTTCCTTGCAAAAATTTTGGTGTTAATGGAGCTCTAACCTAACTTAATAGCAAACCTTAACACTAATTTAACCACAAAAATTTTTATCAAAATTTTTTAAGATGGTGATGCTAGGGTTTTATAAATTTATTTACAGCTATTATCATAATTTCTGGAACACCTGATAAAAATTAGCCAAATAATTTTTCGGTAGATTTGGTTAAGTATGTAATTTCACAATAATAGCTTCAATAAAATTGGCGAATATCTCTGTTTGAATACTTGTCCAACTTGTTTGGTATTTATGAGAAAGACTGTTCTTGTCAACCAATAAATCTTGACAAGAAATACAAAAAAAGCTCTGGATATAAAATTTATATTACATGAATAGGTGTTAACATTAAAAAAGTTAGATATAATCAGTTAAAAAATATGACTTGAAAATGTTTTATGGATGTTTTTTCAATACATCACATATCTTTGAAAGTGTTTGAGAACTTGACTTATAGAAGACCAGTAACATCTAAGTGGTTGTAATTTTTTAAACTGATAGGCCTTTTAAATTTTTTTTCAATTATTTACCAGTGAAGGTGCTTTGAAAGTATTATATTTAAAGATATGAGTAGTAGTATAATATTTGTATTAGTCACCTGATCTTAAATTATGTATATTATATCAATTTTTATTGAATTTATTATGTCAAAATAATAATCAAATTTAAAAGTTTGGGTTTTGTAGCTTATTGGTTAAGCTTTTAAATCTTTACAGACAAGAGGTGTTCTCAAGCATCTCAATCAATCAATTAAATAATGATCATAATAACACTCAAGCATTTCAGTCAATGATGGCATTTATAGAATTAAATGCTTGAGCATACTCTTTCTGTTTTTCGTGATCTACATTATGCCATCCAAAACACTTTAAAAAATTTTCTACTCAACTGGTTACCGAAACTTTAACTTTGGCTGTGTTAGTTTCTCCTTTAATGATTTATCAATTTAAATCTTTTGTTGCAGCAACAGAACCTATTTATGGAATTATTAGCAAAAGCTGCATTATAGCAACAAGAAATAAAATTTTTTTTTTGCGAATTTATTATTAGTATTTAAATTTTATTGAACAAAATGAATAGCAGTATTTATTACGATTTGATTAAAGGTTAAAAGATGGATTGTATTTATTATGTTAAGATCAAGGTGTTAATTATTTGTTTTAAAAGCTTCAAGAATTAAAAATAAAGTGATATTTTTTCATATCGGTTAAAAATTTGCTGAGAATTTATTGTTTATTATTTTTGATGTGTAAAAATTAAAAGTAATGCTTGAGCGACCTTTATCAATGGTAAATTTTTGAAGAAAAAAGGTGGTTTGCATCTCGCTGATTTGTTTATCAAAATGGTAACTCACTTGATTAATTTATTCAATTCCCGACTAATTAAAATTTTGCCTCTGATCCATTGAGCGAGGTGCTTGAGAACACCCAAAGTCAACAGTTCAAGTTAGGCTAGTAGCAAATTTTAAATTTTGTTACTATAACTTATATAAAGCTATAATCAAATGTAAAGCCTAGTAAAAAATCTATATGCAAGTATGAAATTGAATTAAAGAATTCTTAAAAAGAGATCTAATTATGAAGTGTAGGCATTATATATTGTAGTAGCATTACAGAAAATTCAAATTATATGAAAATTATATAAGTAAGTTCTAAGAAACAAGATAGTATCAACATTTTTATACTTCTAGTTTAAACATTATTAATATTCCCATATCCAACTTATAAAAAACTTGCTTGGAAAAATAATTATTAGATTGTATAAATAAGTTTTAAACTGATATTACAGTATTAAATTTAATTAGAAGAGTGATACAATAGTAACTAAATTTTAGTAATAAAAAAAACAATAAATATAAGAATAATTTATAGCAAAGGATTGGCTTTACTAAATTTGAAATATCTTTGACATCTACTGTAAATAAAAAATTAAGTTTTAAATATAGTAGACAAAAAGGGTTTGGAGCTTGTAGCTTACTGATTAAGTTCTCAAACCTTTACAGACAAGGTTGATAGTTCGAGTTAGGCTGATGATAAATTTTCAAATTTGTTACTATAACCTTATAGAGCTATAATCAGATGCAAAGCCCTGTGAAAAGTCCAAACACAAGTATAGTTTTGAAATAGGAAATCCCAGAAGAAGCTCTGATCATAGAGTGCAACATTATGTGTGATAGCAACATTACAAAAGATCTAGATAGTAGAAGATTGTGAAGTTAGTCTTTTGGTTGGGTAACTTAGAGGCAGCATCAATATCTCTTCTGCATCCAACTTGTGGGATATTTGCTTAGAAGGATAATTAATGGATTGTATGTATTAGTCTTAATTTGGAAATGATATTAGGTACTTGCTTAAAAGAATAATACAATATTATCAAAACTAAAATAGTGAGAAAAGTGATGAACATGTGAAAGTGCTGTGATAAAGAATTGGCCTTATTTAAACAAGAAGCACCTCTGGTATTGTGAAACAACTAGCTAAAGAAGGTAATTTTATAGAGACAAGTTGGCTAATCTAGTATGTCTAAAGGTATTAAGTTGACATTCTAGTCATATTTATATAGAATTCAATAACGAAAAGAAGCTAGAGTATATTAACAATAATGCAATACCAACTAATAAATGAAAGTCCAAGTTGGAAGTCTAAGTAAATTAGGGTTTTTCTTTTAATAATATAATGCAAAGCCAATAGTTAGAATTAGTACTGCTTGCTACTTAAAGAATTTCATGATGTTAGGCTAGTTTTTAACAAAATACAGTAGATCATTAAAGCAGTATAATAAAATATAGCTTTGGCAAATATCATATAAAGAAATATAAACAGATTAGCTAATAGCACTTTACCAAAAAAAGAACATTAAGTTCTGAAATGACAAATTAACAGTAGTAGCAAGATTTGGCTTAAGATACAGGTTAGTAGTACTTGGGCAAATAAGTGGAAGATTAAATATTCATAGAATGTAAGAGTTGCATAAAGGAATATTATCTAATACATCAGCAAATTTATAGGTGCAAAATATTGCGAAAGATTTTGCACTACAAAAAATTTCGAAAATAAGTGCTATAATTTTCGAAATATTTCGAAAAATGCAATTTTCGAAAAAATTTCGATAAAATTTTCAAAATATTTCGAAAAATATTTCAAAATATTTTAACCAAAATAATTTCGAAATATTGCAAAATTATTGTTTATATTTGACTATATTCGAATATACTTGAATAATTGATATTATCATCAGCAAATTTATAAATGCGAAATATTGCGAAAGATTTTGCAATACAATATATTTTGAAAAATTTTAACAATAAATTTTAAAAATTTCGAAATCATGCAAAATAAAATAATTATTAACATTATATTGGCCTAGTTTATTTTGTGTTTTAGAATTTTTTTTTTTCTTACAAGAAGATTTCGTTGGACAATTTACTTTTACAATTACTTCTTTAGCTCTTAACCCTTGTTTATTTTTATTCTGTTTTTTTTTTTTCTGATTTTTTTTTTTCTTTTATTTTTTTTATTGTACTTGATATGATTTACATTTATTATTTTGGATCTAATTCGTCTTTTTAGAATTTTTTTTTTTCTTTGATACTCTATTTACTTTTACAACTATTTCCTTTAGCTCTTAACTCTTGTTTATTTTTTTCGTTTTTTTCTTTAATTTTTTTTTTATTTATATATCGAACATTTTAAAAACAATGAAACTGGTAAAAGATAAGTACTTCGTGTTTTTTTTATTTTTTTCTCTCTTACTGAAGTTTTTTTTTTTAGGTTTTCGCTTCACTGGGCTTGAGATCTTGTAGCCGGAAACTGGTACGAAGATAAGTACCAATCTTTCGTTGTATTTTTTTTGCTTTTTTGTTTTTTGTTTTTTTTTTTTTTATATAGACTAACATTTTTTTTTCAGGGGTTTGCTTTGTCGGGCCAAAAGCTAGTACAAAGATAAGTACCATTTTTTTTTTGGGTATTTTCTTTGTTTTTGCTTTTACTAATGGTTTTCTTCCTTTTTTTTTTAAATTCTTACTACGCTGGGAAAGATTATTGAAATGGGCTTGAGATCTTAAAACCGGGCTTGAGATCTTGAAGCCGGAGGCTGTTGATCTTGAAGCCGAAGGCTGGTACAATGATAAGTACCAAATTTTTTTTTTTTTCGTTTTGCCTTTTGTTTTTTGTTTGCTAATAGTTTTATTCTTTTCAGGGTTTTGCTTCACCGGGAAAGGTAATTAAATTCGGGCTTGAGGTCTCGAAACCAGGCTTGGAATCTTGGAATCAGACTTGAGGTACTAATTTTTTTTTTGTGTTTTCTCGTTTTACCTTTTGTTTTTGCTAATGGTTTTATTCTTTTCAGAGTTTTGCTTTGCCAGGGAAGGTATTGAAATTGGGCTTGAGGTCTTGAAGATCTTGGAATCAGGCTTGAGATCTTGAAGCCGGGAGCGGTATAATGATAAGTATCTTTTTTTTTCTTTTTTTTTTCGTTTTTTATTAGCGTTTATCTTCTTTTTCCTTCTTTTTTAAGATTTCGCTTTGCCGGGAAGGTGCATTGGCCGAGAATTGTGTATTGAAACCGGGCTTGAGATCTTGGAATCGGGTTTTGATCCTAGAATCAGGAATTAGTACAAAGATAAGTACTAGTCTTTTTTTTTTTTCTTTTTGTTGTTTTTTTCGTTTTTTACTAAAGTTTTTCTTCTTTTCAGGCTTTCGCTTTGCCGGGAAGGTATAGTGGAACCGAACT